GTGAATGTCTCCCGAGATATGTCCTCACGTGGGCCTGGTCCAAAGATGGATACTATGAGGTGAAGTCAACGTACCTTCTGGGCAAGTCCTTGCCCCTGGAACGATTTGAGCATTACTGGAATGAGGTGTGGAAGGCAGACGTTACCCCAAAGGTTTGTCATTTTTTTTGGAGGGGCTGCTCTCATACCCTTCCAACTTGTACCGTTCTCGAGCATAGGCATCTCATTGATGACCCTAGGTGTCCCTGCTGTGGTTATGATGTTAAATAAATTTTGCACGCCATCATTTTGTGTCCTAGTATGCATCAGCTATGGATTAGGAGTGGCTGTGAAAAAGCACTTGATTTTGGTAGCTTGAATTCCCTTGGGGATGTCTTGCTTCACTGGAAGAAGGTGCTTGCAACTGATGTCTATCAAAAAAGCCTTTTCCTAACTTGGTTTATTTGTTTTAGAGCAATAAATGGGTTTTTGAAAATACTTTGGAGTTGGATGATGTGTTTCTCCACAGACATTGCAGATTGGTTGTGGACTTTGGCGAGTATATAGAGAAAATCTATGGTGGCATTACTCGACCACAAGAACCTGGCGGTAAGGTCTGGTCTCCCCCCCCCCCCCCCCTCCCCGATGCTGTGAAATCAATATTGACGCTTTTATAAGTGACGAGGGATGGGTTAGCTTAGGTGTTGCTGCTCTAATTGCAGGGGGCAGGTCGTGTTTTCAGCTGTGAGAAGAATTAAAGCCCGCTGGGAGCCTCTAGTTGCCGAGGGTAAAGCAGCTCTCTTTGGTATGCAGTTGGCTAGAGACCGTGGAATCACTGATGCCATCATCGAGTCAGACTCGCTGCAATTAATCTCCAAGCTTAATAAGAATTCTTTTGCCTTTGTTGCAGTAGATAGCATTTTAGAAGATATTGCTCAAGTTAGCTCTTGTTTTTCTTCTATTATTTGGTCTCATACCAAGAGAGATGGGAATTTTGTAGCCCATCATTTAGCTAGATTAGTGCCTTTGATAGAGAACAAGCTTGGGAATACCTCGTTCCTTGTGAGGTTTCCACTACTAGAAATAGGTCGTTTTCCGACGGAATTATTCCGTCGGAAACAGCGAAAATTCCGTTGGAATCTGTCTGTCGCAATACCCTTCGTAGGAAATTCGACGTTTTCCGAGCGAAATTCCGTCGGAAGCCACTATTCAGACGGAATCAATTCTGTCGGAGCTGGTTTTAGCTTTAAACGAGTGTCCGTTGCAATTTTCCGACGGAAACGATTCCGTCGGAGTATACCTCTTCCGACGGAAAATTTCGCCGGAATCTAAATTTCGAAATTTTCCGTCGGAAAAATTAAATAAAAAAAAAAAAAAAAAAAACAGCCCCACCCACCACCAGCCCACCCCCTGCCCCCCTACCCAAACCCCATACCCCCTACCAGACCACCCCCCTGCCCCCCTACCCACCCCCCTACCCTCAACCTCAGACCACCACCTCTATTATCCCCACAACCCAGATCCCCACCCACGAAACCCCCTAACCCACAACCCACCACCACTACTACCCTTAACCCACTACCACCGAAATTCCTAACCCACAACCCACCAACACCGAAACCCCAAACCCACACCACGAATTACATTCGAAAAATAAAACCAAAAAATCGAATTACATGAAACAAGAGGAAAAAATCGTATTAAAGGATAAAATCGAATTACATGAATTACAGGAAAAAATCAAATTACAATCGAATTATAATCGAAAAAACCAAAAATAAAACCCATCACCACCTTGAGATGAAAAATAAGAAATCGAATTACATGAAAAATTCGAATTACATGGAAACCTTGAGATGCTCGCTGGTGTCGTTGCGACGGTGGTTGTTGGTTGTCGGTGCTGCTGGTGTCGTTGGTTGTTGGTGTCGGTGCGGTGTTGGTGTCGTTGGTTGTTGGTTGTTGAGGACGTAGAAGGAGATCGAAGGAAGGAGACGAAGAGGAAAGAGGACGAAGAAGGAGAAGGAAGGAGAAGGAGAAGAGAGAGAAAAAAGGAGAGGAGAGGCAGAGGAGAGGAGAGGAGAGAGAATGAAGGAGGAGAGGAGGTCAGAGAGGAAAGAGGAGAGGAGAGAGAATGAAGGAGGAGAGGAGGTCAGAGAGGAAAGAGGAGAGGAGAGAGAATGAAGAAGGAGAGGAGGTCAGAGAGGAAAGAGGAGAGGAGAGAGAAAAAGAAGAGAGGCGGAGAGAGGAGAGAGAAAGAGAAATGAGGAGGAGATGAGAGGTTTTAGGGTTTTGTTTTTTTATATTAATAAATTCCGACAGAATATTTCGACGGAATATTCCGTCGAAAATGTAATTTTTCGACAGATTTTAATTCTGTCGGAAATGTAATTTTTCGATGGAATATTGCGACGGAATTAAAATTCGTCGGAAAGTTTATTTTCCGACGAAGGAATTAAAATCCGTCGGAAATTTATTCCGCCGGAAAACCCTTATATTCCAACGGATTTTATTCCGTCGGAAATTTCCGATTCGACGAAAAGAAAATCCGTCGGAATTTCTTACTTTTCCGATGAAATTTGGCCTATTTCTAGTAGTGTTCCTCGTATGTACTTATGGACTCTCTTGTTTTGAATTAATGTACTAGTCCGCTTTCTTTCAAAAAAAAAAAAAAAGCATATGATATATTATGGTAATTGGTTTCAATATATATATGTGTGTGTGTGTGTGTGTGTGTTGTTCTACGTTGCATAATGTGTAGCAAAAATTAGCCAAGACAACAAAAAATTAAAAAAAAAGCTATTTGTTTCTGTTAAAGATTTTACCAATAAAAAGTTTTTAATCAGTGAAAGTTTTTAGCTTGCATCGTTCACAATAGTGAACTTGCTCGTTTATAGGCTAAATTTCTTATTAAAATATTTTACATGATGTACTACTACACAAATTATTATACTAATTTTGCTACAAATTATTGTACTAGAATTACTCATGTGAACTTCACATTTGGCATTTTCTCAACACTCCCCCTTGAATGTTCACATGATATGGGGTATGAGTTTCCTTATCAAAACCCTTGCTAGGTAAAAATCCTATGGGATAAAAACCATAGCTAGGGGAAAGAAGTACAACGATATTATTGTATTATATGCTTTAGTATACTGCCTCGTTAAAAACCTTGTCTGGAAAAGCCCAGTGGGATAAAAACCTAATCGAAGGGAAAAAGAGTGCAGTGCATATAATACTCTCCCTGATTTCAGCATAGTTCACAAAAATGTCGCATTCCAATTTTGTGAACTAATGGTTCAAATTTCTTGGAAGGAAGTGATTTGGTGAACAGGTCGGCAAGGTTGTCACAAGACTGAATTTGCTGGATATCTATTTCCTCATCCTTTTGCAGAACATGTGTGAAGAATAGTTTTGGGAATATATGTTTTGTTCTACCTCCCTTAATATTCCTTCAGTTACTTGAGAGATGCACGTTGTATTGTCTTCAAAGATGGTGGTTGGATTTTCTATTATTGCTTTCATTCCACACTCTTCTTGGATATTACTAATCATCGACCTCAGCCATACACATTCTCGTCCGGCTTCATAAAGGGCTATCAACTCTGCATGATTTGAGGATGTCGCAGTCAACGTCTGCTTTGTTGATTTCCATGATATTGCAGTGCCCCCATAAGTAAACAGATATCCATTTTGTGACTTGGCATTTTGAGGATCCGATAAATATCCAGCGTCGGCATACCCAATGAGGGCAGCATCTTGTTTCGGTTGATATATAGACCAAGCTCTTCCCTCGTAGGTACTGGAGTAAGTGTCGGACTCCCTTCCAATGCCTATATGTTGGTGCATTGCTTTGCCTGGCGAACAAGTTTACAGAGAAAGCTATGTCGGGTCTAGTTTTGTTAGCTAAGTACATTAAGGCTCCAATTACACTTAAGTATGGTACTTGTGGACCCAGAATTTTTCCATTTTCTTCTCGTAGTCTGAATGGGTCGTTTTTCATACTCAAAGAACGAACAACCATTGGGAAGTTGATTGGAGTTGCTTTGTCCATGAAGAATCTTTTCAAAACTCTTTTTGTATAGTTTGATTGATGGACAAAAATACCATGACTCAAGTGCTCGATTTTCAATCCAAGGAAAAATTTAGTTTTTCCAAGGTCTTTCATCTCAAATTCTTTCATCAAGTATTTTGCAGTTTTTTCAAGTTCATTTAGGGTTCCGATGATATTCAAATCATTAACATAAACTGCAATAATAGCGATTCCTGATTGTGATCGCTTTATGAAAACACAGGGACTAATTTGGTTGTTCTTAAACCCTTCTCTCACAAGGTATTCACTGAGACGGTTATACCACATCCTTCCAGATTGTTTCAATCTATAAAGTGACCTTTTTAGTTTTATGGAAAGTAATTGTCTAGGCTTGTGGTTTTCTGGTAGTTTTAGTCCTTCGTGGACTTTCATGTAAATGTCTGTATCGAGTGACCCATACAAATACGCAGTCACTACATCCATTAATCACATTTGTAGTCCTTTGTGACTGTCAAACTTACCAGAAATCTTAATGTAGTTGCATCAACTACTGGAGAATATGTTTCTTCATAATCAATCCCTGGGATTTGAGAAAATCCTTGGGCTACAAGTCTTTCCTTGTATCTAACTATCTCATTTTTCTCATTACGTTTTCTCACAAATACCCGTTTGTATCCAACGGGTTTTACACTTGCTGGTGTAAGAGTTATTTTTCCAAAAACTTCTCATTTTTCAAGCGACTTCAACTCAGTCAACATTGCCTCCTTCCACTTTGGCCAATCACTCCTGTGTCGACATTCTTCCACTGTTCTTGGTTCAACATCATTTTTATCAGACACAATGTCGATTGCGATGGAATTTGCAAATATTTCATCCACGATAACATCTTTCCTATTCCACCGAGTCTTGGTAGAGACATAATTCATTGAAATTTCATTGTTATTGATGTTTTGAACATCTTGTTCATTCCCCGTAGGGTTGTTTTCTTGTCAGTCCCCTTTTGGATTATCATCATTTTCTTTACTTTCATCCACATTTGGTCTTTCTTGACCTTCTGACGAGGGAACATCATTAGTCTCATTTTCTATTCCATCCAATCTTTTCAATTTCCTTGGTTTAGAGTCTTTAGAACCAAGTGGTCTCCTACGCTTTCTGCGTGCTTGAGATTCATTCTCAATGGCCTTATTATCTATTGGGATTTCAATACATGCAGGGGAATTTTCTGCTTGTATATGTGATTTTGTCACCTTCTTTGTGTCTATAAATGCATCAGACAATTGATTTGCAACACTTTGTAAATGAACAATTTTCTTGACTTCTTGTTCACACATATTTGTTCGTGAGTCTAACATCAACAGTTGTGTTGCATTCCAAATAAGTTATGTTTCTTTCTTGCGTGGGTCCACTTTCTCTCCCCCTAAGGCTGAGAATAATGCTTCATTAAAGTGGCAGTCGGCAAATCTAGCCGTAAATAAGTCACCAGTCAATGGTTCAAGATATTTAGTTATTGGGGGGGATTCAAACCCGACATAAATTCCCAGCCTACTTTGTGGACCCATTTTTGTTCGTTTGGGTGGAGCAATGGGAACATATACAGCATAACCAATGATTTTTAGATGTGAGATACTTGGTTCTCGACCACAAACAAGTTGTAGTGGTGAGAATTTATGATAAGCTGTAGGTCTCAATCTAATTAGTGTTGTTGCATGTATTATAGCATGTCTCCAAGCAGATGATGGCAATTTTGCCCTCATTAATAATGGTCTTGCAATCAATTGTAATCTCTTAGTGATTCAGCTAGACCATTTTGTGTATGAACATGAGTTACTGGGTGTTCAACATCAATTCCGATTGACATACAATAATCATTAAATGTTTTGGGATGTAAATTCCCCAGCATTGTCAAGTCTTATTTTCTTTATTGTATGATATGAGAATTGTGCTCTTAATTTGATAATTTGGGCAAGTAATTTTGCAAAGGCAACATTCCTACTTGAAAGCAGACTGACATGTGACCATCGTGTAGAAGCATCAAAGTTAAAACCATGATATATCGAAATAGTCCACATGCCAGATTAATTGGCCCACAAATATTTCCCTGAATTCTTTCCAAGAATTTTGGGGATTCAGTAGCAATTTGGTTCATAGATGGCCTTATTATTAATTTGCTGAGTGAACATGAAGAGCATGTTAATTCATCTGATCGAGGAATTTTGACATTTCTTATTGAATGTCCAATTGAATTTGCTATTATTCTTCGCATCATCCCAATTGCTGAATGTCCCAAACGATCATGCCATAAAATAATCAAATGTTTGTCATCTAACTTCTGGTTAGATATCATATTGATTTCCACGGGTCGTATGTTTATACGATATAACCCCGAAGAATATGCTGGCAATTTCTCATAAATGTGTTTCTTGCCATATTTTCCTGCCGTGAGGCATAAATACTCCTTTTGACCTGTTGTCATTGTTTCTAAATGATAGCCATTTTGGCGTACATCTTTAAAGCTTATGAGATTTCTTCGAGATTTACTCAAGTATAAAGCATAATTGATCATCAATTTTGTCCCATTTGGAAGCATTATACAAGCCTTTCCAGATCCTTCAATTAATTTTGCTGACCCGGAAATAGTGTTTACATTTGCCTGAAACAACTTTAGTTGTGAAAAATATTTCCTATCCTTCAAGATAGTGTGTGTTGTTCCACTGTCCAAAAGGCACTGATATTCGGAACCAACTTCAGGCATATCTATATCTTCATAAATATGAGATTAGTTAGAATAATATCATACAAAACTTTTATTGATGATAGAAATTAAAAATACATGACTAGACATTTAAAATACAGTACATAATAGAAAATACATTAAAACATAGTATATATTACATTAGTAGGTGGGTTATCTAAGCATTGTTATTTTCTCCAAAGATGAAATCATTTTCAATTTCAGCATTGTCCATGAAAAAATCGGACACATCAAGGGTAGGACATGGAGCATTTTCTTCATTAACATAATTTGCTTCTGCATTTTTCTCTTTTCCTTTTACAGAAGCCTGGTAAAGGTCTATCAAATGTTTGCCCGTACGACAAGTACGTCCCCAATGCCCTGTCATGCCACATCTGTAACATGTGTCTTTTCCTTTTAAAGGAGTTTGTTTGTGGCTTCCAGATAACTGTCCCTTTTGTTTTTCAGAATTTTTGAAATTACTGCTTCTTTGAAAATTATTTCTAGCACATCATCGACCTCGTCCGCGATAATTTCCACGGCCATTGTAATTTCCACGTCCACCTCTTCGTGTAGCATTTGCCTCGGGTGGATAAGAACTTGTTGCATTTGCCTCATGATGAGTGGCCAGAGACCCAGTTGGTCTGAGATTATGATTTTTCAACAAAAGATCACTATTTTGTTCCGCAACAAGCAATACACTCATTAATTCATTAAACCTTTTGAAACCTCTTTCACGATATTATTCTTGCAACAATATGTTGCTTGCATGAAAGGTAGTGAATATTTTTTCAATCATCTGTTCATCGGTGACTGGATGATCACAGTATTTCAATATAAATACTATCTCATGTATGGTTGAATTGTAATCAATTACAGATTTAAAATCCTGGAACCATAAATTTGTCCAGTCAAATAATGCCTTAGGAAGAGCACCCTTTTGTGGTGTCCAAATCTTTCATTAAGGCAATTTCATAATTCTTTGGGATCTTTAACCATCATGTACTCAGTTTTAAGGCCTTCATGTAATGATGTCTTAGTAACACTAAGGCTTTTGCCTTTTCTTGTCAGTAACAGGTTTTACAACCGTCATTGTAGAAGTGGTAGTATCAGTTATTTGACTAGAGGGACTTTTATTATCTTTAATAGTGTGCTCCAACCCTTGAGCTTTCAAGTTCATCATGGCATCCACTTTCCATTCCAAAAAAAACTTTCTAGATAAATCTAGGATGCTGAATTGTCTTTTCATAAGATCTCCCATTTTAACTACAACAAATCACGTGATAATTAATTTATAATAATAAATCATATGTACAACACATATGTTTAATTCTTCCATATTTATAGTTTGTTAATGAAACACGTGATAATTAAATTTATTTAACAATAATAAACCATAAATAATATAGTTCTTTTCTCCCCCCTTGGTTTATTATTGTGAGTAATTATATAATTAGGCAAAAATAAATCATATTAGTCGCATAAACAGCAAAACGACGACAACAACAACAACAACAACAACAACAGTAGTAACAATAATTATAATAATAACGGTAATATTATACAATGATGATTAATAACAACAAACAACATAATAAAACAAAAACATGCTTTTAATCTACTAAAACGACAAAATAAACAAACTTCACTTGTACATCATGACAAAAATTAATATTGCTACTAACAGAACTACAAGCGCCATAATTAGAAGAAAATGTTGTTTTATCTTCCTTAAATCTTCCTCGAAAGTGAAGGTGTAGGTGCTTTGGGTGTTTTGGTTGCCGTCGTCGGGGAACATATTGGAGAAGAAGAGGGTGAAAAAATTTGGGTGATTTTTGGATAAAAAAAATGGGAAAGGATAAGGGATTTGTGGTGAAATTAGGGGAAAATTTGCCTTTTGTAGAGGTAGGTTTATCCGTTACTATTCTGTATTACTGTAAAAATATCATATAATAGTCTAATGTACTAGCAAAATTATGGTCCAAATATAAATATTTATAATTGTAAAAGGTTATCACACTGGGAATGCAAGCCATAGTGGTCCAAGAGCCCTAATATCTATAAAAGATCATGAGTTCGAAAATGGAAAGAAACACAAAAAGTACGTAAAAGAAAGAAAATAATAAGTATAAAAAGGCTGCATCTTTTTGTCAATTTAGTTAATAATATGCATGCAAAGTTACCACTAAAATCAAATTTTACGTAAAAGATGAGCATGTAATATCAACATGCATGAATCAAACAATATCAACATGCATGAATCAAACAATAAACATCAACGTGAATAAAACGAGGGAGAATAGTAATGATTCATAAATAAGAGAATAGTAATTAATTAAATTTTTTATTTGAAATTTTGTGAGAAGGAAAAAGAAGATACTACGGCAGCCATGGATACCGGTGCTGCTCCGCCTCGGGATAACACCAACATTATCCACAGCCTCCAGTTAATTTTCCTCTCTCCTCTTTTTTTGTATTTGGTATTTTATTCCATTGTTAAGTTTATTTTGAGGTAATGGGTCGGAAAAAGGGTTCTAATACAATTGTATATTCAATTATTTCGATTTTTTACACGTTTTGTCCCTGCATTTGATTACCATCAGTTACAGTACAAATAACACTCAATTCAAGATTGTCGTTATCTTCTTGTTCGTCTCCTTCAATAATCATCAACCTCATGTTGTTCGTTTCCATTGTTTTTCAGATCTTCAACTGTAATTAGCAAATTTTCTTAAATACATTGATTATAATTTATGCTATTTACTCGTTTTTTTGGCCAAAATAAATCAAATTAAAAGCGTTATTGATACCTTCATTGTTATTTGTGTTTGATCAAATTCATGAATTAATTTTTTGAGGTCGATAGCATTGTTGTTCCCCTGATCAATTCACCAATTTGTAATTGATTTGTTGAGATCGATTTCTTCCATTGATGAATTTGCTGCTTAAGCGTTGCTGGGTTTTTCGTATAGGGGTTTATTTTTGGTTGAGAAGAGGCTGGGCTGTTTGTATGTGAACTGAGAAGAATAAAATGGGCTGCCTATGTTGTATGCTTGCATGTGAGACCATAAGGTCTAGGTCCACGCAAGATTTTTTGGTTTTTTTTTTTTTTTTAGCAAAACATGATGTTCTGGTGTTTTATTCGAGTAGAGGTGTCAAAAAGTAACTCGACTCGAATAACCTGATGCAAATTTCAATTTGTATGGACATAATAAAGTTAGTATGATTTAAATTTGCTATAAATTCAACCCGACCCAACTCACTGAATCCGACTTAGTTATCCAAATTGACTACTCTCATTACGAAAAATTCTCAATCTTTAATAGCTTTAGTCTTTTTTACTCTAATAATGTCGGTTGATATTAAATTGTGTTTGTCGCATCATCATGGTGATGGTGCTAAGATTAGTTTAGTAGTAAGATATTTCTTCATTAGTACTAACAAAAGCAAACATAAAATCCAAGTTTTGTTGGTATGAATAGAGTTCTTTGTTGGTATTTAGATGATACCTACAACTTAATATCAACTATTGTTAATAGAGTCATTATGACTCAAGTTATTAGAGGCTCAAAATTTCTTTATGTATCGGAATATTTATGTATGACTCTACATGACTAACCAGCTAATTGATACAATACGACCCGAGCATTGGTTTCGAGTTTTGACAGCTCTACTCATAGACTTCTTTGGGTACGATATGTAACTCTTAAAGATACTTTTTGCTATTTGAGGAACTGAGCCTTGTTGCGAAATTTCAATTTCTGTTTTTGTAGTTGCATTTATATTTGTTGTAAGGTTGTGCCACCTAAATGAGGGTGTAGTATTTACCAAATTACAAGTAAAAGGTGAGGCTATCGTGTGAAATGCTATTGAGATCTGCATAAATTCAGATTGATTCGCCATCTCATGTATTGAGTCTAAAGGGTGAAGGAGAAAATACAGTGATTGCTTAAGCTGTTGTGTAAAGTTAGGCAATAACATTGTGTAGTGCAGCAACCTCTATGTTATACTGTTATCAGGTATCTGGTAGGCATAATACTCATGGCATTGATTAACTCGAGTCTATCAATGTCTGGGGTGATTGACAGGTGCTTCACTGCTGATGAAATCGCAAAGTATAATAAGTATGAAGCAGATTATGCTAGTTACCTGAGGGCGAAATACTTCTCTGACAAGGATGTCTACGGAGGTAAATTGCTATGCGGACTCTTTCATACATGTTCCTGTAAACTTAAGTCCTTTTTTTTCCGTGATGCTTCCGTGATGCTTACCTGTCTATACTAGGAATACCAAATGAATCAGAAATTGAATTTGATTTGTTTGTACTTGTGCTATCTAGCAAATCCTTTGAAACCACCATTCCAAGCCTACTCCAAAAGGCATTATGATTGGTAACTGAGGGGTAAAATCTGATTTGGACTTACCTTGTGTTACATGCTTCTGCTTCCAAATGCTATTAAGCATTTTGTCTTCGTTAGAGAATGCTTAGGCCCAAATTAGATAATGCTACATATTTCACACTTAACTCCCTTTCTGCTTCATCTGCCGCCCGATTTTCCACTTTGTAGTCCTCTTTACATTCACATTTAGTTTTTAATGTGTGTGCCTTAGTTTACTTATCGCTTCTCCACTTCCTTTCCCATCGCATGCTTATCTTAGTTGGCATCTTTGTATGCGCTACCATAATATCACCCGTAAGGGTGCTACTCCATTTTTCTTTTGAAAGGTGTAGATTCTGTCTCAAAATTTTCCTTTCTAACTTATTACAGATCGCATTGCATTTAGGTTCATGTTGTTTCTAGATATTCTAGCTTTTTTTTTTTTTTTTTTTTTTGAAATTCTATTGCAGAGACTTTTTATTCCCCCCCCCCCCCCACACACACACACAATCAATCAGAAGAGAAGAGGTCAGTGATAGTGTCTGCTTCCCTATGCCGTGGCAACAACTGTAGCTGCCTAGAGTCACATAAAGCTTATTCAGGAGATGTCATGTCATGGTGTTGGCACCATGAGCTTCATGAACATCATCTTGAAAGGAGTTTAGTTTTCTTTAGAGCACAGTAAAGTATCCAAATCTTCATGCTCCCACTTCTTTTGTGGGTGTGCCAAACTGCCAATTTGCCATTTTGTATAGGTTCAAGCCAATATATTAGTTAGCAGTAAAGTTTATATGAAACTCCGTAAAAAGTAGTGGCATTCATATGGTATGGAAAAGTTAGGACAGGGGATTTAGATTCCAAATTTCCAATGAAGTGGCTTGTAAAATAGGCTTTTGTGTGAGTTTTTTTTTCGTATAAAATTGAGATTTAAATGTTGTTGTTCGGCAATCTTTTGACATTGCTATAGCATTGTTATTGTTATCAACTTATTATTGACATGGGGAAGCACTGTGATTCAATTGGCATCAATCATGAGGTGCATACACTTGGAATGTTCAAATGTTCTTATAGCTCTCTGGGTGCTTAAAATTGGAATCTAATAGTGAAGGTCCTGTTAGTTACTTTGGATAAGAAAGTCTACATCTCATTCTTTGCATTTGACTTAAGGAGTATTATAGATTATTTGAGACAATCTAGTATCACTTGATTTCATTTATACATGACCAAGTAGAAAGGATCTAATTGTTGAAAAACAAAAGTAAAAAGACATGCTGGGGCCGCAGGGCACATCTTCTATTCTGTATTGCACAATTGTTTGGTTTTTGGTATCAGTACAGTACATTTTCTATGTATGACGATGCTGAGGATTAGTAAAGAACATAAGTATTAAAACAATTAACTTATTAATTATATATACAGGTGACATATATGACCTTACAGTCGAAGTAGGCAATGAAACCATAAAAGCTAGCAGGTGCACACAAAGCTTACTCTCTTGAATTTACAACATTCAAAGTTGAAGTTCAATACAGATGACATAGTTTTGTTATGGCTTTTCATGATGCAGGTGGTCTCCGACTCGATCATTTGCAGAACCTGCGCAGAGTGTTGTAGACCCTTGCCATGTTTTGGCTTCTGAAGTAGAACTACCCGCTCCAGGGGCTGAACCTTCTCCAAACATTGCAAATGGCAGTATAACTCCAGTTAAGAAGAGCAGCCGATGATATTTGTTTTTACTTTTTAGCAAATCTACAGCATTTGAATTTGAGAAATGCTGAAAAAATAATCATAATATGGTGAATAGTGCATAAAACTTGGCTTCTTTTTTTTCTTTTAAAAAAAATTATTTAGTAGAAAAATACTTCCCAAAACTAGACTCCTTACTGTTCCTTGCAATGCCAAAATAGCCTATACTTTGCCAAAACTACAAAAAAAATTAAGAAGTCATTGTTATATGCACTATTAACATATAATTGTTATTTTTATACAATCCCTCAATTTGGATTAATTTAATATATATTCATGTTAAAACGTTTAGGGTGATTGACCAATTAAAAAAATTTAGGGAAAAAATTGAGTTGGCAATTGACAAGACCTATTATGACTGAACTTTTTTGTCTTTGTTAAGTGGAGATAGGCCAAAATAGTAAGTTGTAGAAGAATATCTACCAAAGGAAGTAAGTTACTCTAAGATTGCTAGCCTATGTATCACCATATGATAGGAAAAGCTCGATAGTAAAACTTATACAAGTATGAACTTTTTGGAACTTATCTTCAGGTTACCAACTTACCATATTATAAACTTATTAGAAATAGGTAAAACAGGTGAAATTAAGACACCCATAAGGTGGTTTTATGAGGTTGATCTTGTTTAAAAGAAACATTTGTGTAAGATCATCTTATCATCATAAGACCGCTTTTGTGAGTCATAGGCTCATAATAAACATATGATCCTATCCTGGTTTGTCTTTACCCTTAATCTAACCCACCTACTAGGTGGTCTTACAATGACAAGACATTCTTAATAAAAATTTGTATAAGCAATGTTTTAATAATTTTAAATATAATTGGAGAGGGTGTGGGAATCCCCACTTCTGATGGCAAGGCGGTCTTATTTTATAAGTCCTCCTTCTTAGTCTTCTCCATTCACTTCATCTCTAAAAGCAAAATAAGGCGACGAGGATTAAGAAAAGTGCTATGAACTGGCTTTCGTTCTTACTAGCGCCATAAATGACAAGAAAGTCATGAAGAAACATACACAAGTATTTTGGAACCAAGAGATAACTAGGGTAGGTGTTAAACAAGACGAGCCAAGCGAAGCCAACATTTTCTTCGTGTTCATCAAATTACGAGCTCAATACATGAATATTACTAAGGAGGGCGTTTGGCATGGCATGGCACGTGGGTCGGACACTGCATGGGCTCTTTTTTTAAATGATCAACGTATGCCTAGCACAACATGATTTTTCCTTAGTTGTTCCCGCAGCACGAAGCACGCCGAAACGTGTCAACCTACACGGCTTGACATGACCAATCTTTAGTATACTAACGTGGTTTTGTAGGGAAATATGGGAAGGGCAACTAATCTATTGCAATTCCTCGTTGTATCTTGATAACAAACGTCCCCGGAATATTAGATAAGCATTTAAAATATTTTCTAAAGTGATATTAATTTAGTAATATATGTTAAAATTACGCGTTGATTGGTGTAATGTAATTAATGTTCATTTAATTTAATATTCTACTTTAAGTTATCTTATGCAATACCCTTAGGGTGTTCGTTAACTTTTGCCTTCCTCGTTATTCTCTTAATCTATTCCATTTCAGGGAAAAAATAATTAAAGGTTTTGTGTTTTACCAAAAAAATAAAAAAAATATAATAATACTATATGAAAATTAATTTTACTAAGTCACACATACTCTACTTTTGACATATGTCAATGTTCATCCCTTACTCTTCCTTATAAACTCTTCATTAAATTTTTCCATTAGAAAAACATGACAAAACTTTTATCTATTTCCAGTTTTACAATACATAGCCTAAATAGCTGATAATCATTTGCAATTCCAAGCTCCAATTCATTAAAAAATAGATTCATCAATTTGACACCTACTTGTTGCTTAAACAACCAGCTACCATCTACTCATAACAATTGCCAATAGTTTTGCCAAATAAGCCCTAAAAACCTAATTATTTGCACTTTAGTCTCATACCAAAAATATTTCGCAACCAAAAAGGAAAATTAGGGTTCGTATGGCATCATTGTAGTTTTCTGTTTTTTGTTTTTCAAAATTATATGATGTATGTCATATAATGAATCAAAAAGTAGTCAAACTAATAAGATTTATGATAATATTGAAAACTGACAACAGAAAAATGGAAACATCTTTTTCTTGTTTCCTGTTTTTGATTTTTGGTTTTTTGTTAAAAAAAAAAATGACTCAAAACAAAAAACGATGTCAAACAAGCCTTAATTTTTGTTGCAAGTAATTTTTGTTTTAGGATGGATTTCATAGTTAGGGAAATTAAGGATCATATTCATTAGTTGTTATAAAAGTGTGGAGAAAGCTCATTTAAAACTTTCTCCTTATTATGATCCTTAATTGCATAAATATGCTTTGTCCAAGGATAATTGCATAAATAAGTTTATGATCCTTAATTCCATTTTAAATGAACTCAATTGCAAACATGAGAAAGAATAAATGAGCTTTCTCTAAAAATAACGAAATCATTGTTTCTATGAACTTTCACAATCCAATTACGAGCTTATAATGATATGAGCTTAGTCTTTCGATATAATATGTGCTTTCATTGAGAAGTTATGAGTTTTCATAATGAGCTTTTCTCCAAGGATAATTGCATTTATCTCCAATCATGGATGGATCCAAGGATTGAAAGCTCCTTCATAATCCAAGAGTATCATCATTAGTTCATATTTATGATGCTCGTGAATTATGCTTTCAATCCACGAATAACTATTTGGAACGTTGAGATTTTATTTTGGGAGCAAAAACTTGGAATATTGAGATTATGTTTGTTGTTATTGTTTGTTTCATTGTTGCTAGGTCGTCCCCATTTCTTCAAATAAGATGAAAAGGACCGATGATATGGGTGATTCAAGTGATTCTCTAGCAAAAGAGCATCAAGCAGTTGGTGATCATATAGGCTGGACTAACATGGTGAACAACTAGCTATTATTTGCTCCATCTTTACATTTGTAAACAGTAACAAAATCTTGTATTTTATAGTTTGATGACTTTGATCCTTAACTTTCTACTTCTAACTGTAGGAAACATGGTCCACATTGTGCGATTTGGAAACTCTAAGCAATCTTGTTAATGATTTTGTTGGGGATTTTCCGGTAAACAAGGGTCACAAAGAAATGGAAATGAAATTATTGGAAAAACCTTCGAGGTGTGAACGGGATCACTTTCCTAAAAGTATAATTCCGACCTTATACTACAATCGGGTATCACGGAAATTACTTAGGAGATACAACGAATAACAATTATAATAACTTGTAGGATAGATTATTGCAATTCAATGTATAAAAGTGTTTGTAATTTTGTGAAAATGAACAACTGATAATAACTTCCTATACCAAAGTGATAAGATAGAAATTATATTTCATCTCTCAACCTACATTCATCATATGAGGAGTTTCTCATATATATATATAAGATAGTAGCTAGTATGTAAACAATGCATTAAGTATCGAAACCGAAAACAACGCATTCACTAAATAATGCATCAAGTCATCAAATGTTAAGAGATGCATTAAGAAATACATTAAGACAGTACATGCATTAAACAATGCATTAATACACTAAGTTATAATGCATTAAGTATGTAACTGCCCAACTAAATCAAGAGAAATCAAAACCGAAACCGTAAGTAGTAACGGTTGCAACAATAGTGACGAATCAGCCACTTTTTCCTTTCTCTTGATTAGTTGTATACTATTACCTTAATCATATGTTGTCTAAGTCATGACACCTTAACCAAATGACTTAAACTTAACATAACATGAATAATAATCAACTAAATACTCTAAATTCTCCAATAATCCTCCCCCATTTAGAGTATTTAAAATGATTGATTGCATAAACACATCATCATCACAAACACAATCTTATGCATACATGAAAGTGTACAAAGACTTGAACTCCCACTTAGTGCAACATACAACCTAAGAATCCATATCCATTCGGTATCGTAAAACGTTTGAACCAAAAGCAATACATATTGGATACTTGAAGATATTACTGTTGATAATTTAGAGTGTCGGAGGAGCGCTCGCGCTTCTGAAACGCGCTCGCGCCAGTTAGGCGCGACCCGCGACAAAACCGCGCATAAACCGCGATGAGTTTCTGGAAATTCTGGAAAAGTTTGGAGGCGCGCCCGCGCCATGGCATGGCGCGGCCCGCGCCTAAAGCGCGACAAAATCGCGTCAACTTTCTGGAAAATCAGAAAGTTGAGATTTCAGAAGAGGAGCGCCCGCTCCTACTATAGGAGCGCCCGCTCCACATTGAGGAGTGCCCACTCCTCCTTGTGGAGCGCCCGCGCCTCCTTGTGGAGCGCCCGCGCCTCTTCGCACGCGCCCGCGCTTCTTGCCGTTTTTGCGGTTTTATACGACGGTTGATTCTATTATATATAGAATGAGTATTATCGAAAGAAACATACAGAACATTATTATCTTCATCTTCTCCCCAAGAATTCTCCAATTTCTCTAAATTTTCTTGCAAACTATTTTGAGAAAAACCTCTTGATTTTAGCCTTTGTAGTAAGTCATCCATCGGTTTTTCGATTCTTTGTGCTAAGAACGGAAAGGGCTGTCAATTGTATCTCAAAGGGAATTTCCGGATTAACCCAAGCACCGTGTAGGGGAAATTAATCCCTTTAGAAAAGTATTCATACGCCTTTGACAGTGTATCAAGATCATAGTCTCAAGGGACATCTCGATTCTCATGTTCATGTGTTCATTGATCGGCTTGGAGTTTAGGCAAGTGTTTTAATTCTTCATACTAGTGTTTCCTTTGAAATTTCTGTAATTTCTTAGATTATAATACTTGATTGGAACACATTGTTGTGTTTGTTTAATTACATTACTTTGTTTTGTAATAATAATTTTAGGTTTTGTTTCCCACACATTTTATCAAGAATTACTTGTTATTATAAGTGTTTTCTAGTTTGAATTCACTGAAAACCTAACAATCTAAAGGGATTAATTCAATTGGGAATTGTCAAGTATGTCTAGTGTGAAGGAACTTACAACTAACTTCGTCAAACTCAAGAAGTTTGATGGTGTTGAATTTAGGAGATGGAAGAAGAAGATGTATTTTCTTCTTACATCTCTTAATGTTGCCTATGTTATAAGTTCTCCAAGGCCAAATGAACATGAGAATGAGACCTTGGAATCCGTTCGGGAAAGATCGAAATGGGACAACGACGATTTTATTTGTCGTGGTCACATCTTGAATGGGATGGAGGATGACTTGTTTGATATCTACCAAAATGTGGAGTCGGCTAAGGAGCTTTGGGAGTCCTTAGAGAGCAAATACATGATGGAAGACGCTTCAAGTAAGAAATTTCTTGTTAGCAA